TAGATAAATCATCTCCAGAACATGTCTAAAACATAGATAAATCATCTCCAAATTCAGTGATAACCATCATTCTAGTGTCAAAAAGCATTATCATATTCAATGACCTGATAACCATTGTCCAAAACATGTCTAAAATTTGTGACAAATGCTAAGACAAAATGAAAAACTTCTAAATGTCGTAATCATCTCCAAGTTCCTCCTCAACCCTACAATCATCGTCATGATTAGTGGGAGGCACTATTGAAGAAGACACACCGTGATTAGTGTTGAGAAGTTTCTCGATTAGGCTGCGAAGTGAGGACAATCCACTCTCTAATTGCACATTTTGCTGCTCTAATGCACTCATACGATCGTTAAGCTTCTGGACGTAAATCACACAAGAACCTGAACATGTAGAGATATAAAAGGGCACCTCGAACCCAAATCCATAAACTAACCCTTTTTTGTTATAGCCTCCATTTGCTTCATAAAAGCATGTTGAGTCATTAATGTTTGTAATGCCTTTTGAAACTTTCAATGCCTTTAACTGTTCATAAGCTTCTTGCATATGAAATAAAAAATTATACAACATAAGTCACACTTTTTAGGATAACAAGTTTGCAAGACTTTACAAACATATTTCAAGCAATAAAAAAACTACAAGAATGTAATTTTCTATGCTTTAGGGATAACTTACGGAATTTCTACACTTCACTGATAAAAAAGGCAGCGCTCTTAACTTATGAATAACTTAAAATTGAATTATTCAAAAACAAGAAGCATGTTTTGACACTCTTAACAAATCGTAAGTGCTATTTGTCCACCCTCTCGTTTCTTCAATAACTCCCCAGTATAAGCTATTTGTTCACCCCTCTCGTTTCTTCAATAAATCCCCAGTCTAAGAAGAAAAAATTTCATTCTAATATATATTCACTTAGCTATGCACAAGTAAACAACATAAAAAAAATTTGCACAAGATATTATCATAACTATAAACTTGCAACCAAACTTACATATGCTTCTAGTGCTTTAGGAATAATCTATTTTTTCGTTTTCTCATCATAAATGACCTTGAGAAAAACTTCGGGAATACTTACACTTTGTCCTAATTCTTTTCCCTTCAAAAAATGAAATAATGATTTTATGAACTATAGAATGAAAGAAACATAAATTGAGACTAAAAACGAAGTAAATGATAAACTTACATAATGTCGTCTTCACGTTTGTGTTGGAAAACAGAAGCAAATATTTGTAAAGCGTGGTCATGTTTTATGTTTGTGCTCATTCTTTACATAAAATTTGTTTCTATTATCACGTTTACATAACAATATGATATCATAATGAATCAAAGAAAATCTTCAACAATTCTCTCGTTTGGGAGCTGCCGATTCTGGCGATTATCCCGTTTGGGACCGTTTCAAATTTATCATTTGCTGTGTTGATTTGCTGTGAGTCCTTCTTAATTTGTGTGTTTCATCGGAGATCTCTGCGGATTTGGTGAAATTGCAGTGGTTTTGTCATGGGTGAACCCCAAGATAAGGGTAACGAGGAAGACCTAGCTAATCGCCTCAAAGGCTTTTCCCTGTCGGCAGCAGAGGCTTTAGTCACAGACATTGAGCAAGTCGATATCCGGCGAAGTTCAGAAGAATGCCGACGTAGTCTGTTCTGGAAGGTGGTGGGCGACCGTCGTGCTAGCTGGATTGGTATAAAACGTACGATGAACAATATATGGAAGTTGCAGAAACCAATGGATATTAAGGAGCTGGAACCTAATTACTTCCAGTTTATCTTCCACAATAGGGAAGATTTGGAAGAAGTTGCAAGTGGCACCAACTGGATTTATGATAACCTATATTTGATTCTCCGTGAATGGGAGCAAGGGTTAAATAGCCTTCACAAGGGATTCAATGAGCTGCTGCTCTGGGCCCAGGTAACCAACCTTCCCCTTGACAGGCTTAGTGCCGAAGTTGGTCTTAAAATAGGGAAGGCATTCCCGGATGTTAAGAATGTTCTAGTTCAAAACATAAGCCCTCATGGAGGTAAGATGTTAAAGCTTCTGGTTTCTATCAACCTCGGCGAACCACTACCAAGATGCACAAACATTAGGCTGGGGGATCAAATTGCTACAGTGAGGTTCCAATATGAGAGGCTTGTGAGTCTTTGCTATTACTGCGGAGTCATTGGGCATCTGGACAAAAGATGCAAGAAAAGGCTTGATGACATTAAAAATCAAGTTCTGAAGGAGGGGCAATATGGAGAGTGGCTCAAGACCAAAGATATCATACCTGGGACATATTCAAGTCCTTCAAGTTCAAGACAATCTCCATTTACCAGTCAAGCCCCTACAACAGTCAATTCAAATAATCCATCAAGTTCAACTGGGCAAATTCCAGACAACCCTATTCCTATAACAGCCATGAAGAGTTTACAGGAGACATGCCCACAAGACACAGTAGGCTCATCCTTAGAGGTTCCTGATCTTCATCCTTCAACTCAATTGGTATTATCTAATCTGGCTACTTCTAATCAACAGCACTCCATGGAGATAGTCACATCTGCTATTCCTATTCAAGAGAAAGACAAGCTAATGGAGATTGAGCTCACTCTCCCTTCCATTTCAAACATGATTTCCCAGAAGAGTACTTCAATGCAGAAAGGGAATACAGTGACTAGAATGAGCTCCTGGAAAAGGTCTGCAACTAAGGAAGGGAGGCTGCAGAGACAAATGATTCTAAGTCCCTCCCCTGAGCAATCCTCAAGATCAAAAAGAGACAGAGATGATCTTAACTCTCTGGAAGTAGAGGATACAGAACAGTCTGGGAAAAAGATTAAAGGCTCAAACAACAAGGTGGGGGATACCAGCCTAGAGTGGCACCCAACCCATCAATGCTAGCTGCGGTGTGGAATTGTAGAGGGCTGGGTGGGCCCTCTACAATTTCCCAAATCAAAGAGTCTTTTAGGACTCACCACCCAAGGTTTTTCTTTCTCTCTGAAACTAAAAATAATGGTGCTTATGTTAAATCTATTAGTAGGAAGCTGGGATTTGCTGACAGACACTATATTGTGGATCCTAGAGGGCAAAGTGGAGGACTTTTATTGCTTTGGCATCAAGAGGTGGATATTATCAATGTGGTTTCTAAGGAATTCTACATTGCAGTCAACTACTCTCTGAATCATGAAGATCAAGGTTGGGGTGTGTTTGTTTATATGAGTGCTGATAGAAGAACCAGGGAAGCTCAGTGGATGATTTTGGAAGAAGACAGATACTCCTGGGGTGAAGTGTGGTTTACTATAGGAGATTAGAACTCTATCTGTGCCAAGGAAGAAAAGAAAGGGGGCAGACCTAGACAAGATAGAAGTTTTGATGGCTTCAACAAGTTCATCTCCAACATGGATATGGAAGAGATTGGCATGAAAGGATACCAGTTTACATGGGGGAACAACAGAGATGCTGAGGGTTATGTTGAAGAGAAGCTAGACAGAGCTTTTGCTTCGTATGAATGGCTCAGTTCACACCCCAATGCTAAAGTGCTTAATGTGATAAGAACAACCTCAGATCACTCTCTCCTTATTCTTAATGCTGGTTCTCAAGAATCTAGATGCAAGAGGAGATTTGCCTTTGATAGAAGATGGGCTTCAAAAGAAGGATTTGCAGAGGTGGTGCAGAAATCTTGGACCATACCTCAGATTGGTACACCTTTCTTCAGGCTCAAAGAAAAAGTGAAGCAGACAAGAATTGCTCTTCTCATATGGAGCTCAAAATTCAAGTCCCAAAACCAAGAAAAGATTGCTGCTCTTTCCAATAAGCTTGAGGAAATCAGAGAAGCTGGTAAAGCTGATAAATGGGAGGAATGGGATTTAGTTTCAAAAGATCTTAATGTTGCTCATACCTATGAAGAGAAATACTGGGCTCAGAAAGCTAGAGTACAGTGGTTAAAGGAGGGAGACTCTAACACTAAATTTTTACATGCTTATTCTATGTCCAGAAGAAGGCAGAATGCTATCTCAAGACTTATCACTGATGCTAACAGAGTCTGCTCTTCTAGGAGGGATATTGAAAATCACATCACCACTTACTATTCATCATTGTCCTCTTCAGAAGGTTCTTGGGGGGGAGAATCCATGTTGCACCTTATTCTTCAAACAATCTCTGTAGAGATGAACCAAGATCTCCTTAAACCGGTTGAAGATGATGAAATCAAGACAGCTTTGTTCAGTCTACACTCTGACAAATCCCCAGGTGAGGATGGCATGACAGCCTACTTCTACCAGCACTTCTGGAATCTAATTCAAGGGGATCTCATTGAAGCAGTTCAAAGTTTCTTCAATTCTGGTATGCTTTTACAGTACTGGAACCATACTATAATCTCTCTAGTGCCTAAATGTAATGCTCCCTCATCTCTTAATCAGTACAGACCTATCTCTCTTTGTACTGTGGTTTATAAAGTGCTATCCAAACTGTTGGCCTCTAGACTCAAATGTTGTTTGTCTGCCTGTATTAGTCCAAGCCAATCTGCCTTTATTCAGGACAGGCAACTCCTAGACAATGTGATATTGGCACAAGAAGTCTTTCATTTTCTCAACAGACATAGGTCTGGTAAGAATTTCTTCATGGCTTTAAAGTTGGACCTTATGAAAGCCTTTGATAGAGTTGAGTGGATCTGCATTGAAAAAATTATGATCAGAATGGGCTTCAGTTTGGAGTTGGTCAAGCTTATCATGGTATGCATCACTTCCACCTCCCTGTATTTTATTGTGAATGGCTCTTTGACTGGTGCTATCTCTCCATCTAGAGGAATCAGGTAGGGGGATCCTTTATCCCCCTTCATATTCATTATTGTCACAGAGTTACTCACTGCTCTTATCTCTGATTCTTTGGCTAGAGGAGCTCTTACTGGGATTAAATTATCACAGAATGGCCCAGCATTATCTCACCTGCTCTTTGCAGATGATGCCTTGTTCTTTTGCAAAGCTGAAATTAATCAAGCTCAGGAATTGATGAATTTGTTGGAGAGGTACAGGTTATTTACAGGCCAAAGAGTGAACATCCAAAAATCATCTGCATTTTTTAGCAAAAATACCTCTCTTACTGCTCAGAATCAAGTTTGTGCTATTATGGCTGGTATTCAACTGCATTCTTCTACCAGATACTTGGGCCTCCCACTGGGGATTGGCAGATCAAAATCAGAAGTTTTCTCTTATGTCTTAGACTCAGTGAAAGCTAAACTTTGGAGTTGGACGAATAAGATGATCTCAGTAGCAGGCAAGGAGGTGTTAATCAAGGCTGTCATCAATGCCTTACCAGTGTTTACAATGTCCTGCTTTAAACTACCAGCTTCTGTCTGCAAAGACATTTCTAGATTGACTGCAAATTACTGGTGGATTAAAGGGGATACTCAAGAGGCTGGACTGCACTGGAAAGCTTGGCATCTTCTCTCAATTCCAATATCAGATGGAGGCATAGGCTTCAAGGACATCAGTTCTTTCAATAAGGCACTCATGTGCAAACAGCTATGGAGGGTGGTGTCTCAGCCTAATTTGCTTGTGAGCCAGGTTCTCAAGAGCAAATACTTTCCAAATTGCTCTATCTTTGATGTTTCTAAAACTCAAAATGGCTTCTGGATCTGGAACTCATGGTTAGATTGCCTGCCTATTCTTGCTCAAGGAATGAGAACTGAAATCAATGATGGGGAATCTACTAGAATCAATGATATTAACTGGACCCAAGCCTTCCCCTATCCAAGCCTTCTCTTCTGAGTATTGCACAAGGCCACATCACATGGGTCAAGGAGCTGATACAAGATAATGGACTCAGATGGAACTCATGGTTGGTGAACCATCTCTTTGGTGAAGCTGACAGCAGAGCAATTCTTGATATCCATACATTGAATCCATCTAAAAAGGATAGGATTTTCTGGTGCTTAGAAAAGAAGGTTCATTTCTCTGTCTCTTCAACATATGATTTCTTGATCAAACAGAAAATTCTTCACTTTGATATTCCAGGTAGCAGCAGAAACCTCTCTTGCATTAAAAAATCAAGGATCAGGACTTGGAATTTGAAAATCAAGAGAACTATAAAGCACTTCATCTGGAAATGTGTGACAGGCACTCTTCCTGTGGAAGTTAAACTGGCCCAAAAGGGAATTGACATTGATGTTATCTGCAGTGGTTGTGGTAGTTCTCCAGAGACCATAGAACACATTTTCTTCCATTGTTCTAGAGCACAATTGATGTGGAAGTTAAGTCCAGTGAAATGGGAAGAAGTTAACTCAGAAGGGGGTCTTTTTAGATCATGGTGGTGGCACTTATGCTCTGTCAACAAGACTAAGGTAACTGAGGAGAGGATCCAGCTCACAACTTACCTGCTGTGGTGGTTGTGGAAATCCAGAAATCTCTGGATCTTTGAAGGTATCAAACTACCAATCCATGTGGTGGTCAGCAAAGCTCACCTTGCCTGGATGGAGTACAGTGACCTGAAGACATTGCAGTCTTAATTTGGTTCTGTGTGGTTGTTGGTTGTTTTTAGGCTTTTGTTTTTCTTGCGGTTTGTTTAGTGTTCTTTTTCAGTTTGTTTTTGTTTGAGTTTGGAGTTGGATAGTGGGCTAGGCTTTGAGCAGTGGTCTGTTATTTTTCTCTTAGTCAGTTGTCGAGTTGCCTCTAGGCCACCTTAGGGTGTGTCCTCTCATTTTAGTCTTCTTTTCTAGGTGTATTGGGCAGGTTGCCTCGATTGTATTCAAACGGTGTTCATTTTGGCTTATATATAATTCCTCTATCGTTCCCAAAAAAAAAAAACAATATGATATCATGGTAAATATTGGATATATAGTAACTTAAAAAAAAGCATTAAAAATGATTTAGCAATAAAAAACAACAATTCACGTACACTGAGTATATTCACGTACACGAGTATATTACAAGCAGTGATTCAAATACCGTAACATACCGGCCGGTAATACCGGGTACCTGATATAGCACAGAAGAACGTTTGTGTAGACCGGCCAAAATCGGTTCAGTTTATTGGCCGAGCAGGTGTAATTCTCGGCTCGGGTTATTGGCTGAGCAGGTGTAATTTGGTGTTGCATGTGCTAGGCCCATCAACTGCTCGGTTACATGTGTGGGTGGACTTTGAAGTGGCTTGCCCGAGCAGATGTGTTAGTAATTTAGTAACATATGGGCTCGGCCCAATAAAAGTTTGGTTATGCGTATGGTTCGGGGTTATAAGTGGGTCGAGAACCAAGCAAGGGTTATAGTCATCAGATTGATCCATAAGGGACACGTGTAGTGTTGGGATCACAGAAAGGATAGGCGATCTAACGGATGAGGGGTACATCGTACGAATGAAGCTAGGGAATTACATATAAATAGGTAAATCTTCTGTGACAGGTACATCTAAGTTTTCACATTGCATACAAAAACTGAGCCTTCCTTAATACTCTACTAACTTGGGCGTCGGAGTTTTATGGCCGGGAACACTTCTCGGTGTCTTTGCAGGTCTTCGAGGGCTCAGGCGATTGGAGATCAAAGAAGGCCGGTCCAGTGTGCAATAGTACATCAATTGGCGTCGTCTGTGGGACCAAACTATTTTTTTCTACCGATTAAGGATACGAGAATGACGAAAACGATCACGGATGAGCAGTCGAGGAGGAACTTGAATGAGAGTTTGGAAGAGGCGTGGGTAGCAAAGACATCCTATGGTGGAGGGCCGCTGACATGATGGGCCGGCGGAGAGAGCACGATGACTACTCCCCCTATTACGATACAAGGAGTACCCCCAGTTCATCAGTCGGGTCAGGAGCAGGGATTGATGACCCAAGGAGTGGGTCAGGAGCAAAGATAGGCGACCCAGGGAGCAGTTCAAGAGATTGTGGTGCGAACACCGGCGCCAGAGGTGGTACCGGAG